CACCGGATGAGACAGCACTACAGCCAGTACATGTCTGATCTGATGCACACCCCTAACGGACCCCAAGCGTAAATGCCCAAACCTTTCATGCTCGGCCGTCTGTGTCGACTAGCTCCCCTGAGTCTTTTCTTCCTCACTGCCGGTGCGTTTGAACCGGTTAGACAGCCCCGCGAATGCCCGCACCTCGACTAAATCATCCTAGTCCTAGTTTTTCACCTGTGTTTTAACCGTCAATCCGTTCAAAAGTGCTTCTTTAAATTGATCAATTAGTTTATTATTAAAAGGCTAGTTACGATGCAAAAAAACCAGGCATGCGATAGTTGTCATTCTGGGAGGTAATGACCTTTTTGCCTTCGACAATCTGCTGATTTCGGTAAACGTATTGGTGACCAACAAGAGCAATGCTCAGCGAACTAAGCAAATCACGTGGATACAGTCGGTCACAAGTGTCACAGCGAAGGCGCTTACCAGCCGTGCTATCGTCTTTAGATCTTGTCAGCTGTATTGGATGAATGTCTGACCCATCAACAGGGCAGCGTTTGCTTGTGAAATGCTCACTTACATAGAATGCAGAAAAGTAAGAACCCATTTTTTCTGTAGAATCTTCACACTTGAACATTCGACACTTTAATCCCTTAAATCCATTACCAACAGCAAATGAAATGCCTCTATTCTTATTCTCTTTGCTGGTGAATGGGCTGTAGATTTTATTTCTGAACCTCTTGATGTGATCAATGTGAGATTCATATTCATCATATTCATACTGTGCAAATATAGCTGACTGTTGAAGAAGCATCTTATGAGCATTCTGTATAGCCTGGACTGTATCTTCAAATCCAATGCGAAGTGTGCTTGGTGGCTTATTAAAGTCCAACGTTGTTATATTACATCCATCAGTCGTAGTCTGTAGAGCTAAATACTTGGCAATGTTAGACACTAATTCATGAGCTAACTTCAGCTGAATATCATCAGTATCATACGACGGGTAATACTTGAGTATAGTCAATTTAGCTTTCGGATGATTAAGCACCAAGGCTGTGAGCTCCTTATTGTTCAAGCGTGATAATCCACAAGTACCAAAATCAACCTGCTCGATAGAACGGACTTGTTCAATAGTACCACCCATAAATTCGCTAACAAAAGGAATTAACTCAATGACAGCTGACTTGTCTTTATGATAAACAGACTTCACAAGCGTCATTTCATCATAGATACCACGAGCCTCGCGATACTCACCCGCTGACATGACAAGCGGCGCTCCAAAGAACACCGCATCAAACCATTCCTGTGGTACTGAAATTGAATCATATCCTGCCGTTGTAACCAAGTCTGAAATTAACATAACATACAGTTTGGCAATTAGGATATGATTGACACGAATATACGCCATTGTTACCTTTGGATTGACGCCATGATCTGAACCAACTAGAATATTGGAATCTGGATACACAATAAGACTAGCCATTGAATCGTAATCAAGCTCAGCGCACTCTTCCAATTCCATCACAAGAGCAAGAATAAACTCAATCAACTGAACACTGAGTAAATCATAATCGGTTCTCTTCAACATATCTCCAAGATATGGTCGCACTGCACATCGTATATACGCGATAGCTGGAGGGCCATATTCGTCAATAATTTCTTGATGCTTCTCGCCATCGAGAGTAACATTGTGAACTTGGCCGACATTCGACAGACTGGACATTGGTGGTTCACATCTCTGAGAGATTGGATAGTGCCGAGTATCATAGAGTGCATGGCGCGTGAGTGGCACCGCTGGTATCTGTGTCACTTTGTCGATTGTCCGCACGCTGCTGTTGATGATATTGTTGTTGCTGTGGTATGTAACTGGATGATCTTTACTAAACGTGAGAACTGGCCGAGACAGATAGCCTTTGATCACCAACGCACTGTCGTAGCCACCTATGTCGCAAGTACGTTTTGCCTTCTTGAGACGATTCGCCATTTTGACTCTTCTCTTTGGAAACGGACGCTCCGTCAATGGAGGCTGCTGAACAGTCCCGGATACAGTCTCCTTTGAGGTGATTGCTGGTGGACTCATTGGCAAAGCAGTAACCGTGCTGAATATCAAGTTAGCGAGAAAAAAAAGATAAAAGGATAATAAGAGTCGATATGTGTGACACTGGCTATGAATGGTATAGTTGTAATTCTTGTCCAGAGAGATTCTGAACCATCATCAAAGCTTGCTATATTATTGAGCTGCTTGCGACTTCGTTGTTATATTTACGATGGCGAACCACGAGAGTGACGCAACTAGGGTCGATTTGGGGCAACAGGATAACCAAAGTAAGCAGAGAGTTAAAACAGTAAAGTAGTAATTCACTAGAAAAGAGGGAACATTGTTTACAACCTCTTGAGTTCAGTCTAGAAACATGGACCTGACAGCCTCATATTGTTGCCAGATGTGGTAGCGGACTTGTTTGTGTAAAGAGCCACTGGGTTCTTTGAGCTCATTGGATTGACGAATCCAGACTCAATTTGGCAAAGAGTCGCATGGTTGAATTTCTGGTGGCATCGGAATTAGATGATCGGCCAGCCCATCAGAAATATCCTCTTGATGCAAGAGTTTCTATTACTCGGAGAAGTGACTGAGAGATATGGGCGAAGGCGCAATTACCCAGTATTGAGATCGCTGGTCAGGAAAATAGATCTATTAAGTTTGCAAGCGACCATGAGATGACATATGTTGAGACAAGCGAAAAGGATTAAACGAAGTTCCAATAGTATAGTCAGGTTAAAAAAAAATTGCTGCGCTTTGGCACTTTGGGCCGGTTTTGGTAACATCTCGTGTCAAATCGAACCAAGAAATTTCAGTCAGAAATTATCGAGTTAGCCATCAGACCAAATCGACTTTTGTTATCTTTTAGGAAGGCGTATGTGCTACCCAACCCGGCCACGTCTGGCCATCTCATCTTACCCCTCCCCATTGTACTCCTACCCTTGCACCGGTCCGTCTCGGTCATCCACTTCGTCTTTCTCTTAGTCTTGACTCAGGGAGACAAAATCGCGCACTCCCTGGGTATTTTTCTGATGTTATTTTTATTCCTTTAGTTGCTGTTTCTTTCGGCACTCTCCCTGAACTCCAGCAACCCCTGGATATTAATCTACAGGCATGTCCGTGTGGCGAAATGGTCAACGCACCGGTCTCCTAGCTCGGAGAAAACCGGAGATTGCGGGTTCAAGTCCCGTCACGGATGTTTAGTTTTTTGGCTGTTACAACTGAGGAGCTTGTTGTTTCGCAGCTGAGGTCTTGTTCTGTATTCATGTAGAAGTATATTTATATTTGTAATGATGGAAGCAAAAGAAGAATCACATTTCAAAACAATATCTTTGACTGGTGGTCGGAGATGTGAAGAAAGGAGAGAGATTAGAATTAAACAGCACTCGCGGTGGTGACTCCAGTTAAATATGCAAACAGCCAAGATCACGCATCCATTACATGTGTCAAAGTATATCTAGATAACCCTGCCTTTTTAAAAGCCAGGACTCATAGTGAATGTTAACCCTTCTCACTGTTTTTATATTGCCAGTCAGTGTTCCCCTATCCCTCTCTCCTTTTTATTAGATTGCGGCGCACATACCCTTATCCTTGATCGAATAAACCTTTGCCTTGTCCTATGCCAGAACTCGAACTGGACACTCAACCGCCTCCACCGTACTCAAGATACGACAGCTCTAGCAGTGATAGCGTTGGCACTTCAGCAAGAACGAACCCTTACTATGTCCAATTCGCAGCGGAACGAGAGCTCCAAGACCGGTTACAGTGCCGTTTTGCCATCTTCCGGATTTGGCAGCGATTTCGAACAACAATCATCGCCTTTGTAGTAATGGTCATTCTCATCGCCATGGCAACCATCATATGGGTAGTAATCATGGCTAATCTCGTCAAACCTTAGATAAGTTAAAGACAATTTCAATAATATACTATTTTTACTGCTTGGAGTCAAGCTGCTTGATGAGTTCCTCAACACGGCGACCGTACTCTGGGTCAGCGCGCTTGAAGTGAGCAATCTGGCGCTCCTGGATGAACTTCTTGGCCTTGCGCAAGTGACCAGCAATGTTGCTGACAAGGCGCTCCTGCTCAGCTGGAGTCATCAGGCGGTACAGGTTGCCTGGCTGCACAAAGTCATCGTCAGTGAGCTGGTAAGTGTAGCGGCCAGTGACGCCAGAGACGGCTTCGACAGAGAAGGTGCTGGCTGGGACATTGTTCTGGTATGGGCCACCAAAGGAGTTCGGCTCGTAGTTGGGAAGCGAGCCGCCGTTGCCGTTGACAGCCATGGAACCATCGCGCTGGTGGTTGCTGACCTTGGCGTTGCGCGGCTGGTTGATGGGGATCTGGTGGTAGTTGACGCCGAGACGGTGGCGGTGCGTGTCTGGGTACGAGAAGAGACGACCCTGCAGCATGCGGTCGTGGGAGACGTCGATGCCTGGCACAATGTGAGATGGCGAGAAGGCAGCCTGCTCAACCTCGGCAAAGTAGTTCTCTGGGTTCTTGTTCAGGACAAGCTTGCCGACTGGATGGAGCGGGTAGTCCTTGTGTGGCCAAACCTTGGTGACATCGAATGGGTTCCAGCGGTACTTGAGCGCATCCTCTGGGTCCATAACCTGAACGGAGACAGTCCAGGATGGGTGGTCGCCGCGAGCAATGGCGTCAAACAGGTCACGGGTGGCGTAGTCTGGATCAGTGCCAGCGATGCGGGCAGCCTCCTCGGCAGTAAAGTTCTTGATGCCCTGGTCAGTCTTGAAGTGCCACTTGACGTACTTGAACTCGCCCTTCTCGTTGACGAGCTTGAGGGTGTGGCTGGAGTAGCCGTTCAAGTGACGGTAGCCATCTGGAGTACCACGGTCCGAGAACAGAACGGTGACCTGATGCAGCGACTCTGGAACAAGGCTCAGGAAGTCCCAGAACATGTCGGCATCGCCGCAGTTGGTGGCTGGGTGGCGCTTCTGAGTGTGGATGAAATCCGGGAACTTGATTGGATCACGGATGAAGAAGACCGGAGTGTTGTTGCCAACCATGTCCCAGTTGCCCTCCTCGGTGTAGAACTTGAGGGCGAAACCGCGTGGGTCACGAGCAGTATCAGCGCTGCCCTTCTCGCCACCGACGGTGGAGAAGCGCAGGAAAGTTGGAGTGCGCTTGCCAACCTTGTTGAGGAACTTGGCCTTGGTCAGGTGAGTAATGTCATGAGTAACCTCAAAGTAGCCGTGAGCACCAGCACCCTTGGCGTGCACAACGCGCTCTGGAATGCGCTCGCGGTCAAAGTGGGCGAGCTTGTCAATCAGGTGGAAGTCCTGAATAAGGATTGGACCGTGAGT